AGGGTAGTCACACCAAATATTGATTTGATTTAGATTTCTCTTCTGTTCGCTCACTTTGCATGTTGTAAACTGATAAACATAAAAAATTACAATATATGTTTTTGAAAGCGTTATTACTTTACAGCATTTTTTCACACCTGCCTAAAACTTTTGCACAGTACTGTACTATACAGGTAGCGCTCAGTTAACAACTGTAATTGGGACCTGTAACTCTGTCATTGACGCACTTGTAAAGCAAAAAATTGTGACTGCACCACCTTACAACAGCAGTTCCTGTTGTGGTCATTAAGTGAATTGTGTGTGGTCATTAAGCACGATGTCACGTGACCACGACTTATGAATTCCTGCCAGCTTCCCCATTGATTTTGCTTATTGGAAGCTGATAGTGAAGGTTGCAAATGATGATCACGTGACTGTGGGACTCTGCAACCTTTTTTTCTCATGGCATTGTTTTCCTGTTGTGCTGCTAAAGCACATTTAGAAATAAACGTCCAACTATTTTCTTGATTTTTAAAGCATTATTTCTCAAAATGTCCCAAAATGTTTACTCTAGCCCTTTTAATGTAAATAATCATCTATAGTTTATAAGTGATGATCTTGGGTGAATGAAAAGGTCTTCGTGAAGATCAGGGATGTGCAAAACGTATCCAAGGGTTCATCAGAGATACAGAATATTCCTTCCCCAGCTGGAAGGGATGTTTTGCACCTTCCTTGTGAATGCCATTCGCTGAGTGGATCAGTGAGGAGGCAGCAGAGATTGATCCTGACCTTTAACTGTCCTGCTCCACCACGCAACACAGATCAGGCAGGAGACTGAAATATGCCAGGAACTCTTTCCCAAGCTGATTCCAGTTGCAGAATGTCAAAACTGCCAGAGTTGTTTATGAACAAACACTAATCTACCATCAGCTGGTGATAAAATGGTGATATGTTTTAGGGCTCCCTAGAAAGATGTTTCATGGTTTTGGCTACGCAGCCCCAGGGGCGTTATTAGCCTGTCTTCCACGTCAGCAGAATCTTTGATTCTGGATTCTGCTGGGCTGTTCTTCCTCTGCGGCAAGGGAAGGCACTTGGAAGAGGCCCCCAAGGAGAAGCAGGGAATATTTTCCCACCCAAACCTGCTTTGCTTTCTGTTCTTGTCCTGCTCCAGGTCCTGGCTATGTCCAGTCGCTCTTGGCTGAGCTACTCCTACCAGTCGCGCTTCCATCTAACCCCCCTCTCATACGAGACGCTGGAGTTTGCATCTGGCTTTGCCTCCGAGCAGTGCCCAGAGGGAATTGTTGCCATCTCCACAAACACCCTGAGGTTTGTACAGATAGAAGACACAGACGGGGCCGTGGGAAGTAGTGATTTTCAGTGCATTGGGCCAGCTGTTTGGCGCAACTCCCTCCGGGGGAAAGATGGGAATTGGAGACAACAGGCCTAAAAACTTTTCTTTCACCTGAGGCAGCTGGTCTGCCCAATGTGTTGTGGCTTGTTCTGGCCTTTTCTCATAGTTTATTTTTATTGTATTATTTATTTATTTATTTATTAAATTTTTCCCCCACCCATCTCCCCCCGATGTGGGGAT